GCTCCAGCAGCAGGGAGCTCCCAGACCCCACCCCCCAATCACGATCTCGGAGCTGGGACTGGGAATAAGCAGGGAACAGGCTGGAAGATTGTCCCCAGTCCCTGCTTCACAATCATAAGCTGGAGCTGGGAACAAGTTCCCAGCCCCAGATCCGCAATCATAACTGCAGAGCTGTGCCTGGGAACAAGCTCCCCAGCCCCTGTTCTGCAATCGCAGAGCAGGGGTTAGGAACAAGCAGTTTCAGAGCAGGGGCTGGGAGCTCCCTGCACAGAGAGAGTTCCCCACCTAGCCTGGAGCTGACTGGGACCTGCCTCTGACCAGGATAGCTCCTAGCTAGCCCTGGGTTGCACGGGGAAGTCTACATGTGCATCCTGGAAGTGGCTGGGGACTACCCCATTTCAGGCAGACTTCCATCTGCAGCCCAGGGCTGGCCAGGAACTGTCCCAGTCAAGGGCAGGTCCCAGCCCCATGCCCCAGTCAGGCAATGGAGGCACAAGGCTTGGAAAGAGCTGCAGGGGAGGGGCAGGTCCCAGCCCCCTGCCTTGATCTGCTGGTGGGGCAGCTAGCAGCATGTCCCCACACAGCCAGGAGCTCGCTGCTAGCGCTGGCATATCGGGGCAGGTGGCTGGGACCTGCCCCTCCCCTGCAGCTCTTTCCAAGCCCCCTACCCCTAATCAAGAAGCCAGGGCCAGGAGCTCCATGCTGCTGGGGCAGGGGGATATTGTCCCCACCCAGCTCCAATGGCAGAGCCTGCCCTGGCAACCCCACAGTAAATACGTGTGTCAATGCAACTATTAACTATTTAAGTTAGGGCTATGACTTTACTGCTACGATCCCTAGTGCTGATGCAGATATTCTGATGTACAACTGATTTTGGTGTACAACAGTATGCACAGACAACCACAACATGTAGAATTATCCACATCACAAGGTATTCCCACAATTGGTGCCACTGTTACTAGATACAGCAGGGAGCAGAAGAGCTGGCTAGTACCTCTCAAACCAAGCCCCCTACTAGTCAGAGATGAAGTTTACTGGGTTCGACTCTACCTGCCCATGCTAAAACTTCTTTATGGAGCAGAGGACTTCAATCTTTAGGGCTGCCAACAGTACACCTTTCATGACAGTTAAATTTATTTAAATGTTTAGTAAAAGAGGAACTGCATCATATGGACTAAAGGCTAAGCACAGACAGGCAAAAAGCCAGAGGCTGACTCAATTCAATCTTCGCAGGTTAGTCTAAACTGCTTGGATTGAACCGATAAGTGAGTGAACAGATATTAATTTTTGATTGAGGAAATGTAGCCACATGCCTGCAGTGGCCCAGGTCAAAAGCTGGGGCGGGGGGGAAGGAGGAGGGAGGGGAGTGGTGCTAGAGCACACATCCCTGCTCAGCTGGAGCAGACAACTTAGGCCAAGTCTAGCCCACCCACCCTGTGAGGAGGGGGTTGCAAGGGATATGCAAAGCATCCTGGGATGCTGGGGGACTGAGTTAACTTAAATCTGGAGGGGATCTGGGACAGAAGTTCAATAAAGCAATTTAACCTAAATCAGTTAAGTCTGCTACTACATCCATCCAGGTTTATCTTAAACCAGTCTTGACCATTTTGAAAGTGGTTTACACACACTGAACTTCTGTTGTGTTACAGATTTCAACTGATTTCGGATTGCTTATACCAGTTTGTGTGTAACTTCTGTCCTGAGCCAAGAGACACAAAGCCCACTGTCCTAAGGGAAAATAATCTTTAAAATGTACAATTTTGAAAGACTTTACTATTTCTACTGGAATCTACAACCAGATAGACAAAAAACATTGCTGAAAAGGATAGAATATTCCGCCGGTACTATCCTGTAATCTACAGAGTAAAGTAGTGATGGTGAAATAAAAAGTCTCCGACAATAACTGACTGAACCTTAAGGGCATTTTTACGTGTGCTGTGGCACATGGCGCCAGGCACTTTAATTAGTGAGCCGTGCTAATTAAAAGTGCCCATGTGTCATGTGTAGCAGTGTCCTTGCGCATCCCCACACTGAAAAAATGGCAGCAGGGCACTTTGAACTAAAACTCACTGAATGTGTTTTATTTCAAAGCACCCCACCTCCATTTTTTCAGTGCAAAGACACACCGGGATGCTGATACACATGACATGGAAGGCTGCTGAAGCACATCAATTTCCGTGCTCCAGCAGACTCCATTAATCGGGTCTGCTCCGACATGCTGGATTTCTACCACATCAGAGCATGCTCCACGCATGTGTATAGGAGCCCTAACAGGTGGTGCATTTCTCAGAAAAAAATTTTAAAATTCCCAAACAAAACATTTTAATTACTAATTTAACACCTTCTCTCAACTTCCTGGTTGAGACAACAGATGCTCAGACATCAGAGCAGCCTCCAGGAAACACTCAAACAGAATTCTGCCTGGTAGGCTGGGCCTCTACCTCTGGCAAGGACATCTTGGCCCCTCTCACAGTCAAGCCTAAAACTCTTTGGGTCTAAAATCCACATATTGCTTGCAGGGGCAAGGACAGTCTTCTCAGCAAGAACAGGAGAAAAGAGCTGACAGACTGAGTTGTCAATTCTTTCAAAAGCCTCTGGGAAAGCATCCCCCTGCTTGAGGCACAGAAAGAAATTACAGGTGCACCGAAACAGGCACACTTAAAATTTACCTCTATTCAAGATATAGTGCAGTTCTAATGGTATTGTCCAGTGCAATCATAGGAAACTTCTCTAAAGCCTTCAAGCCAGTGTGGAGGGCCAAAATCATTAGCGCTCATGTCATCTACGTAAATTGATAAGCATTAATGCAGTTTCAAAGATGTAATTTGACCCAAAATGATACTTTTTAAAAATCATTTTAGGGTATCCTATAAAGGGAACAACATCAGAGGTTGAAGCAAAATATATTTTTTACTTTTTCAGAATTAGAAAACATAAGCATCTCCAAGGACAAAAAACAACACCCCTCACTCCCAAAAACAGAGCCAAAAAACCAGGGGAATAATACAGTTAAATGAAAAAATACAAGAATTTATTCCAACTAAACTGTAAACTTAAAGCAAACAAAACAAATATTGGCATGTAGAAAAAGGATTAAATAGCTTCAGAGGAAATTTGAAGGGCAGCTATCCAAAGATGTAATAAGTAAGGGGAAATTCTTCAAGTGGATCAAACTTATGAAACCTGCCTGGGTATCAATTAGACACCAAGGGCAAAAAGAAGTGCTAGAACAATTTAAGTAATTACATTCTTTGGCAATAAATCATTTTACCAAATGTTGTTCACTCAGTCACTCCAAGAAAGTTAAAGGCTTACAGAAGCTGAACTATTAACAGAGCCCTCAAAAATGGATCATATTCTTTAGCAAAGGAAAAGAAATTGGTAACGTCTGTCTTTAAAAAGGTGCTAAATGTCATTTCAGGGATTATACAGGGATTAGAGGTTCCCAAATTCTTTGGACCAGTGGACAACTATCAATTCTCAGGATTTTTGGAAGCCATCACACCCTTATCATCAAGTTTTTAATTGGAAAAGGGAAGGCACAGGAAACAGGGCAGGGTCAGAGTAAGAAAAGGTGAAAACATGTCTCAGTACTTAGCTTAGGAAAAGAAAAGTATCTAGAAATATGGTATTTAAAACAATGAGTAGTAGGGGTGCCTTCTACATTTTCATCTTTCCACATAATTCAAGGGCCAGAGACCACAACATGTAACTGAAAGTTAAAAACTATTAGAAAAAAAGCTCAAGAAGTGCATTTTCATATGCTATGTATCACTAAACTGTGGAACACCCTGCTGACGATGGCAAGCATGCCCCAGTCCAGAGGTGGATACAATTTAATTGTGGGTAAGGTGATTTTATCCAATTTAAATACACAACTGTATGTTTATATTTATTACATATTTTGTAAAATACTTGAGAATTAATGGTATCTTATCAGTGTAAGATGCTGTTCCTATACCGGCTTAGTAACACTTTAAAATTATATATGAATAAGTAAATCACCTACAGTTATCCTAACTAGGTCAAAGATCACAAAAGCCTATCAGTCAAATCATCTCAGCTTAGGGTCTAAGATGAAAGAAGAGAGCACTTTACACCAGTGTTGACCCCTCTGCCAATTCAATGAGACTGCAGGGTTCTAGAGAAAATCCTCTCTTTGCTAGAAGACAAATGTCTTTGATGCAAGAAAGCAAAGATGAGGGGACAAACAGACAGACAAGGAGAAATGGAAGCAAGAGGCATGGGGTAAACAGAAATCCTCAAGGCAAAACCTGTCCCCAAGAAATAATTGGCTTATGCGGCAGGCCACATGAGGAAAAGCTTATCTCTGATAATAAGCCAGGGAATGATAACCTGCTGCATGTTGCAGGTAGACAACCTATTACCAGGTAGTATATTTAACTGGATCCAGACTTCATCTCTTAAGATGCACCCAAACAGAGGACACAACAAAATGAAATGGGACAAATAGATGTGGCCAAGAAATTCCAATCTGCAGCATCCAAAGGTTGAGAGCAAGTTTCTAGGAAAAGCAGGCACAGCTATCTACCAAGAGAAAAAACAACCTGAGAAGGGCCACAGGGGTTGACACACCAAAGACTGGTTCCTCAGCTTTTACGTTTCTTTCTGTGCTAGAAATAACCTCCCACTATAAACCTGGCTGTGTATTTTTGGCAACACAAAGAGCTCTGAGGGCATGTTGGGAGCAGAGGGGACCTGAGGAACAGAAGGGCATTATAAAATATGTAGCCAGTATCTTCAAGTTCTACTTTTAGATGGAAGACTTCAGTTTAGCAACAAAAAAATGTTAACCTTGCTACATCCCTCTCTTCCTATACCTCAGTTTGAAGAGGTACTGGAAGGTCTGATGCAAACTTTTTCCATACAGAACCAAAATCAAAAGCAGAAGTGATCCTAAATCCTAAATGGACAGCAGAAGTGAAATACTGAAATAGAAAGCATTTGCCCTGCAGAAGGGTGAACTGCCTGTTGCTTACCAGTCCATCGCAGTTGCTGATGGCCACCAAGCCACCAGGCATGGCTGAGATATCCCCTGTAAAGACACACTCCTGTTGCAGGGGCTCTTGGAACAGCACTTGGAAATCCTCTTGCCATTCGGCTGAGGCCCCAGGTGGTACCAGCCGATGGTTGGGCTTCACACGGAGATGCAGTTCCTTTCCAAAGACAGTGACGTTGAAATAAAGCAAGCGATTTTCAGCTCCACCTTGGTGCAGGGGCTCATTCAGGGTGCTGCGGGCCACTCTATGCCGAGCTGAGTGCGGGGTGGAGGGATGGCAGTCTTCACCACTCCCTGATGCCACTGAGCCAGACACCACATGTGAGAGGAACCGTCCTTTGCAATCTGCACTGAAGGGCACAATCACACCATATTCACTTAGCTTTCCAGACAGGAGGAGCTCTAGTGGAAATAAATACAGATAGAAAGACTTCAATACATTCAAAGCAACGAGCAACCCTTTGTAAATGTGTCAAGACAAGTGTTTCCTTCAGGTACAGCAGGGCTCATTTGTGTATGCTCCAGGGCTCAGGCAGCTATTTCATCTCAAAAAATATGTTGCTAGATTTGCTTGCTAAATTAGATAAACATGTTCAAGCCAATAAACTTTATTCTACTCTGATAGAACTCCAGTTTTGTGTGTGTGTACCCTGTACTTCTAAATAGGCATGTCCAACTGAGCAGAATAAACTCATACTGACATGCCTCCTGAATGCCCAACTAAGATCAAGCATGCAAACTATTTATTGTTTAGCTTCCATATATCATTTCCTCCATAAGTAAAAACTCTCACAAACAAAACTCTGGCTGCAGCATCATAAATTCAGAAAGGGTTTGCAAGAGAACCCACGTAGGACAGATGCCTCCTTCTGCAATTTCCTATCATAACCAACACAGCCCAGTGCCAGCCCATTATATAAAAATACACCTGTCAAAACAAACATACCTAACAGTCTAAAAAAACAAACCAAAATCAGGGAAGGCAAAAAATAACCCACTGAACTCAAGGACAAATAGCAATAACCAGCCTACAATGATTCTAACATTTTCGACTCAAATATAGAAGTGCAGCTTTTAATTGGCACCTTGTTGTACAGATTTTACACACCACGCACCCACAGCAAGTAAACATAGTGTGACAAAAATAAAACTGGTCACCAGAAGGTAACCTGGACTCTCCACAGGGACTGAAAGCAAACTCCGCGCACAAACGTTTTGGAGCAACAGCACCCTCTTCCCCACTGGCGCTAAAATGTCCTGTAGGAATTGCTTTGCAGGCTTCACAGAAACCTGGCACCGGCACCACACCCCAAGTGCCCCGATTTCAGCTCATGATTAGTTAGGCATGTTCATTTTCACTCCCTCCCCCCATCCGCCCTAGGTGTGCACTGGGGGGCAGGAAACAGTCAGTTGTTGGGTTTGTTTGCGGGGGTGGGGGGTCTGCCCTTACCAGTTACATGGACAAAATGCTGAATTCCCTCTAGGAAAAATAGGAGAGAGATAGAGACAGAGAGAGAAAAAGAGAAAGAGATATAGAAATAGAGAAAGAAGAGAGAAAGAAAGAAGGAAAGAGAGAGAAATAGAAATAGAAAGAAAGAAAGAAAGAAAGAAAGAAAGAAAGAAAGAAAGAAAGAAAGAAAGAAAGAGAAAGAGAGAGCAGGCAGTCGGGGCAGGGAGAGGGAGCGGGAGCCGGCCGGCCGTCGGCGCAGGCAGCGCGGACAGCTC